CCATTGGGAAAGCTGCATTTAAAATTCGATATACCAAAATACTAATCGCGTTTTGACGAATATAAAATTCATTGAAATGAAATTTGACTGTTTAACATTTCACAATGTTTGCTCAGATATTTGTGGAAAATTAAAATGAAATCTTCATTATTATTGCGTCAAGCTAGATTTTCTATTCATAATACAAATTTTTATTTGTATTATTCGAATTATTCATTTTATCTGTTTTATTCATTCAAATTATCCATTTTATTCGAATACTCAAATTCATAAAACAAGTAATTTGGATAAACCTTATTTGAATAAACTTAAAATGAAAAATCGATGATGATCATAATTTGTGGTGTGTAAATCAGTTGTGGTGGCGTAAATGTGTCAAAATATTGATGATGATTTTGTTGTTGTTTCCGAATCAAATAACGATAATCTCCCGAGTGTTCAATCTGTTCAATCCAGGAAGCAGCAGTAAGCACACTTATCAATAAAGTATCAATAATCATTGCAGATAACAACGACAATGACAATGATGATAGTAATAATAATAATAACAATGATGACGATAATGATGACGACAACAATGTTGATATTGATGATGTTGATGCTTGTAAATAAATTTTTTGATGTTTATATAAATTTTAAATCATAACCTTTTTCTTGTAATTCATGATTACAAATACTCGTCCAAAGAAAGATATACAACTTTTTTTTTAGAAGCATATAGAAAAATTGATTTTTTTTATGAAATAAATTGGACAGATTTTGACTTATGTAGCTAATTGCTAAAGTCAAAAACAATATAGGAAAAACTAATGGCAAAATGTTCTTAATTATAATTCACCAAATAACTTTTATAGCTTTAACTCTGGTGACAAAAAATTTCAGTGGAAAATATTAAATTATCACATGATGAATGTCATATCAAAAAAAATAAAATAGGTTTTATTTTTGTGATTCCTTACGTGCTTCATTTTCTTGTTTCTGATAATAATAATTGTTACCCAGAATATAAAAAATTAATACATATATTTTCCCCGATTTTAAAAAAAAATAATAATAAAAATTTACTCTTTTTTGTAAAGCAGATTGCGCTTTTGTGACATTTTTTTGCTAGAAGGCAAAATTGTTTTGTTCATAATTATTATCTTCAATTGATTTCAACAAAAATTCAAAATTTTTTTCCATGTAAGGATCCAGACTTAATTCTAGTGTTTCAAAATCGGGTGGTAACCGATTCTTTGTCTATACTGATGGGATAAGTTTTTGGTATAACATTTTCAAAATCATACAGAGAATGTAAGAGTGCAGTAACCAAATGTGAATTTTTGATTACAATTGGCAATTCTTCAGAAATGTTAATTTATTTTTTACAAGGAAGTAAAATTTACATCAGAATCACTTGTAAGCCTCCATAAATGTTTGTGTAAATCGATAAGCTGAAAGTGCTAGATTTCCACTTTTTGACTGTGAAACATCTAAAATGTATGCATATGTGTATAATTAATATATAATATTTATTAATTTGAAAAAGAAAGAAAATAATATATATAAATGATATAAACACCATGTATAATAACAACACTTTTATTATTAAGTGATTGTTGATAAGTGAATTATGTCTCCACTAATTTATCAGTTACATAGAATTCAAGATATGTTGATTGATATCATCCAACAGTATTGTGATCTATATTTACATCGTGAAGGCCTTTCATCATTTCAATTTGGTATTTAGCATCTTTATTAAAAAGAGATTGTGTATATAACATTTAATGCATTTATTTTAACACTAATGGTTCCTCCCCCTCAAATATATGTATACACACACACACCATCGACTAGTCTATGCTCATCGTCAGTTTTTGCTTCAGGAAATGGAAAACTATTTGTTGCTTCCAGTACACGACCAACATCGAGACCATGAAGCTGCCCAGTTACGGGTTTTGGAAAAAATTCATGACAATGTTTAATGATCTTGAGAACGACTAGTCCATCAAGTTGAACAGACTCTAATGGAGCATTGCCCTCAATATCTAAGGCAGTTGTTACTTTGACTTTTGTAAGTGTGCCTTTTGCAGCAACGGATTTAACTTCCGACATATTATTTATTATTATTATTATTATTATTATTATTATTTACAATTTATTCCTTTGATCAACATTAAGTGAGCGGAAATTTGTGATATAATAGGCGATCTGCAACATGTATTAAAATTTTCTTTTTCCTCAAAAAATTCAAGTCACTTAATATTAATTTAATCCTTTGAATGAATTTGAAATAAGTGGACCACCAAATTTATTGAATTTTAATGCCAATTTAAAAATGTAACATTAAAAGTTATAAAATCCATACTGTTTTTTAATATTACTTCTAAATATCTAATACTAATTATATGCAGAATAATAATATAACAAATTTCGGCATTAAAACAGATTCTTAAATTTGCCTTTAGTTATATATATAATCAACAAACTAATAATAAAAGACTCATCCAATTGCTAATATATAAGTTCATCCATAAAACTGACACTCCATGACCAAATTGTACAACGTTTTTTTATGACAGGGTCAAGAACGTATCACGTTAAATGAGATCCGCGTGTATCGTTCCGCAGTTTTGACATCCACCAACATTTGAAGAAATGCTCCCAATTTTTTAATGAAATAATCTATTTAACGCTAATTAAAATGCAAATATTAAGTTATCTATAAAATCCCAAATGATCTAATTATTTGCGAATA